TTAGTAAGGTTGTGAAGGCAAGAAATGGAAGCATGCCACTTGCATTGGCAATGGTAATAACTTTTTTTATTGGATATTCTTTCCCTAAAATCTGGTTGCTTTGTTGATTGTGCTTTTTTTTGGCAGCTTTACCCATTTGCTGTACTCGTGGGAGGAGTTCTTGTGTGGTATAACTCAACTGAAGATGCACTGTTTTTGTTCCCAGTTTTGTTTGGAAGATAATCACATTCTATTATGGTTGACTATTTTTGGTGCAGGGATTATTTGTCACCATCTGACATCATAGGGAGTTATCCACATTTAGTTATTATAGGAACAGGACTTACTTTTGGATATCTTGTGGTAAGATAGCCATGCTTTAAATTTGATAAATTGTTGTTTAAAGCTACACCTTTTTTTTTCCTTATATGGAAAAATGCCTTTTTCTATGTCATTATATTTGGTGCTCCTTTTAGCTAGTTACTGCCCATTAGTGTAACTGTTCATGCCTCTTTGGAGGATGAACCAATTTGCATAGGACTAGAAGGCTGTCAAAATGTAATACTAATTAATTTGGTTTCGGGGATTGTGGATTCATTCACAATATGGTTTTGAGAATCCAAATTTATTTTTTTTTCTTATCACAATTGTGTTGGCTTTGAAATTCATTAAAGGACTCTTTTATGTTTTGGAGTGAATCACTGAACCTTAGATCCTCTTTGGGATAGATTTGGAGAATTGATGCTAAAAGGATTGTTTTTATTGATTCTAGATACCAGACCAGGAATTCGAAACAAACAAGTTCTTAATATGCACAAAATTCATGTTCTTTGAGTCTGTTCTGGAAGTCATGTAGTACCTAAGTATATAACTTGTCTTCCTATTCTCTGCTTGCTTTGGGTCTGCAAATTCCATCCTGCATGGTATATTATTTGATTTCAATTTTCATTCATTTGTCTACTGTACCTGCACATCTGACTTTGTTGTAACTGTGATTTTATCCTCATCTTGTTATTGAAAGGGATAGATATTCCTTTCTACTATATCCTATTGGCATATTATTGGGTTCACTCGTCAAAATTATCTATTTTCTTTATGAACTGTGCATAGTGCGGAGCTTTATAGCATCAGGTTGCCCTCTTTAGTGATTTTGCTTATAACAATGAGATTTCTGCTTCATTTTGTGTGGCAAACTGAGGATGTGTACTGAAATTTCAATTTCTGTTCCTCTTAGTGGTTTTCTTAGTCACTCTACTTCTGAAGATTATATATCCCGCTTATAGCTTTCTTGTTTTGACAAGCTAGCTCTTTATATTATGATTTTTACTGAGGAAAGCTTAATTTTGCAGGGAAGGATGATTTTGTCCCACTTATGTGATGAACCTAAGGGCTTAAAAACTGGAATGTGCATGGTATTGAGCTGTTTTATTTGGATGATACATTCTCAATAAATTTTTTAGGATGCTTTATTTTTCATATTTGGTTATTGTCCCTCATGATAAAACTATAAAATCACAATTTAATGACATGGGCCAAAAGTTTTTATACGTTTTCAGCAATGTTACTTTCATTTATATGGGTGTCTTACCAGTTGTAGCTACAAAGCTACCACGATATTCAGGAGTCTCAAGCCATTAAGATTCTGGATGTCCTTTATATTGAGAGAATTATAATGTAAATAGTGTCTTCATTGTATTGTCTAACATAATCATGCAATTATAGTGATTAGGAAACTGTATCATTGCATTATTGACATTAATTTGATATATACAGCCTCTGTTGTGTCATTGAAACATGGTTTTTCAGATTCGGAATGATATTTCCTTGTAGAATTAGAGTAATCTTATTTTCCTAAACTTCAAATATTGATCCATAATAATACCCCTTATTGAAAATCTTTATTTTTTCATGTTTTGAATTTCGAACTCAGGCCTCAATCGTTGATCTATTTACGTTATCAATTGAGCTGAAGCCCAGAGGCTGTAGCTAAGGGTTTTTGAAAGTCCAATACTGTCCTGAAAAAAGAAAATTTTCAAAATGAAAACAATCAGTGATATTTGTTAATATCCAACTAAATTTTAGTTAAACCAGGTTGAAAATATTCTGCATATGAGAGTTCACTAAATGCTTTTGGCAGCATCTGTTTCCTATTTTTAAATGACAATGGTTTCATTTAATGCATTTAAGACAGTAAAACTCTTTTCAAACATTACAAATTAGTTCATGCAGTTTTCAAAATAAGATCTCAACCGTGAGTTTTCATTGCTAAAATTGTTGGATTATCCAACACATCTTTAGTTGTAAAATAACATTAATATTAATATTTAGAAATCCATCATTCATAATGAGTCCATCAATGTTGGACTGACAAAGAACTTGTTAGCTCAATGAGAACTCTTCTATTTATCTAGCTGATTTCATTCAAGTGATTAATTGTTTTATTACACTAAAGTAATTGATGTAAGCATTATTTATCTTGTACAGTCCCTCCTGTATCTCCCATTTGCCATTGCTAATGCACTTGCATCAAGGCTAAATGATGGGTATGTACTGTGATTATGCGTTCTGAATTCCATTGATAGATGTCGTTCATGTTATTTATGACTGTCGCCTGTTTCTTCTCATAGAAATCCGTTAATATTTTTGGCAGGGTTCCTTTAGTAGATGAGAGACTAGTTCTTCTTGGTTACTGTGCATTTACAGGTACAACTACCCTTTTTTTTGGAATAAAAGACAAAATATTATTAGAAAAGAGAAAGAAGTAATTACAATAGAAAAGGATAAGTATCCACCTAAATGAAACCGAAAAACAGAATAACCTGAGCAAAGAAGAGAAGCATAGTATCTAATCAAAGCTTGCCACTACATGACTAGCAAAGAAACCCCTCTAAAATAGCTATTAGCTGAGCACCATAAATTTGCTAAGGAGACCAATTTATCATATAACAGAGACAAATGCATTACTTATCCTCAAACATTTTGGCATTCTTTTCCCACCTTAAATCTTGATAATAACGTAGCATTTTGCCAAAGAGCCTTGGTCTCTCTCTTCCTCTCAAAATCTCTGAACTGAGAAATTCAACAAACTCTTTGAACGGATTTATACATTCACTGGACATAGCAAAAGAGTTGACGCCATGAATATCTTGCATACGCCAATATTTCTGTACTATGCTTTTACTTGTAAATTACTTTTCTATCAGATGTTGGATCCGATTTGTGGCCTTTATTGTTCTGCTTGTGATGTTAAGCAGCTCGTCTCACTAGGAAACTACTATTAACAAATTTTTTGAACTTGAGAAATTGGTGCACGCCACTTCTGCACTTGGGAGTTAAATTTTGTTTTTTTGTTTACACTTGAGACGTAGTACATATGTAATATTTATGTTAACTCTCTATTTCTCTTGCTTGATGATTCTGTTTCTATGAATACAGGAACACTGTACTTGCATTTCGCTACGTCTGTCATTCATGAAATTACAAATGCCCTGGGAATATGTTGTTTCAGGTAAATTACCAGCCTTAGATTAGTATGCTTGCTGTAAAATTTGGCATTTATTGCTCCCTTTAATTCATTTCCACTTGATGAAGTCTAATTTATTCTGTTAGTGCCCATAGAAAACTGGTTTCTTATGCTATTATATGTAGATTATATGGTTAAATTATTACATCAATCCATTTTTTATTTTTTTTTGGAACTTGTATTTTTGGAAAAGCAGGTGATAGCTTGTCCTTGGCTAGTTATGGTGTGGTTTATAATTTTGTCTCTGCTAACGACAATGGTTTTTTATGCTCACTCATTTACCTTCTGTTATTGCAGGATAACTAGGAAGGAAGCTTGAATGTACCCAAGATTTTCTTTAGGTATGCACTTTTTCTAATTCATGGCTTGTGTTTTTATTTTTTAAATTTTGTCAATTTCAATTTATAAAATAGCATTTTGTTTGAACATACAGTCTATTTCCTTTCTTCTCCATGTCTTGCTGAGTCACTATTTTTGTCATTTCAGCTTGCAAGTCAAGAAAAATACTGGCAAGGTTTTGGTCAAGTACTAATTTTGCTTTATTTGACAAATTCGATTAGCATGGAACTTGTAATTATATGTTGATTCTTAGATAGACTAGGAGATCTATTCGTGGTAACGCGAGTGTTTTCAATTCTGCCACTATAACTATTTATTTTATCTTGAATGTGACTTTAAAAAAAAATCTGCGTGTATTTTCTTATATATGGATTGTAATGTAGAACATATTTTAGTTCACGCCTAGTGTCAACTTCGTTTCAAAGAGAAGTATATTCACATTTATTGACTATATTTACACTTTTGTCTATAAATAATTTTGGGTTTGAATGGAGTACCACATCATTGTGTTCCCATAAATCGCGTTGAAGTGAGATCAATAATAAACTTTCAAACGGATTTGAGTACGTACTCATTTATAGTTGATTAATTGAAGGGACTAATATTTTTTATGTTATAGAAGATAACATTAATTTTTATATATACATAAAAGTGTATGAAGTTTATACGAGGCTATGTGAAGAAAATATAGGGAAAAAAATTCCACATTTTATGTGTAGAAATAAAATATATTTTTGCAATATAAGAAATATTATTCCCTTAATAGAAATCTTAAAAGATTTTTAATTTTTTTATTACAGAAAAGGGTAATAATTAAAAATAAAGGCAAACGTGAAAGATAAATATTCTCATTTAACACATAATATAATGGTGAAGAACAAGAAGTTAGAAGAATAGATTAAGGAAAAACATGAGATGCAATGTATTTAATTAATAACGTTAATATTAAAAATAAGAAATTTTAAAATTGATATTTAATTTGAATATGAAACGTAATAATTGTGGTGTTTGAGGAACTTTTATATTATAGATTATTGTTAAAAAGATTGAATATAGTATATATTTTAAGTACAAAATCGTTTTAAAATGTTATTACTCAACTTAGAACCCAAAATTAGAAATTCAATAATAAAGAACATATATGAAAATATGCTTAGACCACGACAGTGGAAGAGATTAAGCCCAGCAACTCTTCTGTTAGTATTCGTCCTTTTTATCTATGTAGTATGTTGAATTATTATGCCATTGTAGAAAATATACAACCTCAGCCAGCTATCCCTTCTCAAACCTCATTTGAAAAAGAATAAGGTTCCAATTGAAAATTTTGTAACACCTTGAATACATATACATATGGCATCATATCATATGGCCCTCTCCAGCCATCTTGGTAATCTTAGAGAAGACTTCATCCCCATTCTAGTAAGGAAAACGGAATACAGAAGGTGGAGCAAGAACATGAAACAACCAGAATTGAGCAAAACCTGAAAGAAAAAAGCACATCAGAGAGTTTTAGTACCTCAAGAAATAAGTTAATAGAAGGACCCTCTCAGAGAATAGAGTAACATACCAAAATGCCAAATAGGGTATATATCACGTTCATTGAAGGAATAGAATTCACACCAGAGGCAGTGAGCACTAATGTAAGAGAGGCGTGAATGTTAATTGTGATCTACTAGTCACATTCCCCAGAAAACAACAGATGTGTCAGTGGTTTTGTGATATAAAGATGGAATAAAATTAGGAGAGAATTGCAGAATAAATTACCAAAGCTAGTATATTTTCCCTTATCAAGAAAGATGAAATCAAGACAAAGCCAACGGCACCCAGTGATCGTACCTGCAAACATTACTAAGATTTCATTATAAAAAAAAATAAGCAAAAAACCAGCATAAACAATCCATTCAAATCGGTATAAGATGTTTGAGGCAAAAGGTAATGAACATTACAATTGTGCACAAGAAAATTGACAAGTTCCAACTCGCTCCCGACCTGACAAGATGCAAAAAGAAGACAGTATAGCAGTTACAGCATTATTTAGCTTATTTCAACAACCAAAAAAAGGGTTAATGGTTTACAATTGTCATCCATATAAGAAAACATTTCAGTCTTGTGATAGACCTCCACCATTGTCTAAAGTATATATTAGTAAGAGTATTAGGAGATGCAGGGGAACTGAACTTCAAAGCAGCATGGGACACATGGTGACTTCAGAAAACTAACTGTCTATGTGACCGGGGCAGATTGGAGGGAAATGAATTCAGTTAGATTAGAGTGGGGGATATAGAGAAGAGAGGTGAAAAAGTGGAAGAGAGGAAAAAGGTGTGACTAAAGGTTTGCGAGGGAGAGACCAGGTATTCTCAAATTGCCTCTCCTACATGAATCCATCTTGGTCAGTGTATATCAAATCAACTAATATTGATAAGCAGGAGAGAATATCTAATTCAGTTGTCTATTTTACATCTATAATCTGGTCCAATTCTATCATCTTGCCACTTGCAATGTTTGGATATCTAATAATGGATGAAATGAAAAGGAAAGAGAAGGGATAGAATGAAATAAAATTATCATACCATTGTTTGGATATTTCATGATGGAATGGAGGAAAGTTTACATCCCAATGTTTGGGAAGTGAGCAAAATGATAAAGAAATTAATAAAAAATAAGTTGGTTCCCCATCCTACACCCCTGAATTGAGGGGAAGAAAAATAGAGATATTGGATAAATTATAGAATGGGATGGAATAAATTCCATTAGGTTCCATTCTAATCACTTCATTTTTAAACAATCCAAACAACGGCAACTAATGCCACTCCATTCCATCCTTTTCCATCAATCCAAACATAGCCTTAATCTAACAACAGTAAAATCTGAAATCAAACAACATCAACATTTAATAAAGCAACAAATTGAAACAAATATGAATTGCTTGCCCACCATGAAACAATGGAATTTGCTAGTCATGCCTATTTCAGAAGACTATGATCGGTTACCAAATTCAAATTTAAGAATTTCAAGCCAAAAGTGAGGTGAATAAAGCCAATGCATGTTAACTTGAATTAAAAAAATAAAATAAAAATATTATCATTACTGATCAACTGCATTAGACAACCAGAACAATACTCTCAATTCAAGGAAATTCACATAAAATTTGTGCATGACATACCTCCACAAAGTACCCATTGTGAAACCGACTATACCATGCTTAAGCTGCATGAAAAAATATTCATAAATCAAGTAATTTACAGGCAGTTTCACTACAGTATGCAGACTATAGATAAAATGTATGCTGGTTCAGCTCTGAATACAATTTAGTTTTATTACACACACAAGTTAACACCATGTTTACAAGAAAGCATATTTGATAAGAAATGCATCCTCCAACTAACAGGCAAGCAACTTTTTTCCTCCTAAAGTATAAAAATACTCAAGTCTCATAAAATGACCTTACAACTCACAAAACTAAACTTTTGTTCTCTCCAGAACAAAATCATTCAGCATAAAATGTGTAAATATAAATAATAGGCAACAGCAATGAAAACATAAGGACAGAGTTGAGAGTCCTATTGCCTAGCTCAGCAAGTTGATAAAGTTTAAAGCAAGCTCACCAGATAGGTTAGGGCTTTAACTGGACCAGACAAGACAAACAAAAGTATAGTTGTTGCCACCTACAACAAGAACATAATTGCAACAATAAAAATCTGAAAACGCAATAACTCTTCAAGAATTATCTATTGAATTTTGGCAAGTCTAACCAGGGTTTTCCTTCCAGCATCAACACCCCATCTCATTGAGGATATCACTATTGGCAACGAGAAGAAACAACTAAAGTAATTCTGCAATCAGAAACAAAAATCAAATAGTAAGAAAAATAAATGTGACAAATTTCTAAAATGTGAATTACAACTTTTCTATCAGCATAAGTAGAAACGAAAAGAGCATCAGCTAATCAGTTTTTGTTAGAACTATCAAATTTTCAACCTACCTTCTTAGCCAAACCTTATGTAGAAAGATCCAATTTTTATTAAAAAAAAAAAAATTTTAACCAAAAAAATACAGACCCATTATTCTACTTTCTTAACCAAACATTATAAACAAACAAATACCCAGTTTTTGATTCAGATTAACCAACCTCAATGGCAAGAGAATTGCTCAAGAAGTAGACCAAACCAGTGAGTGCAGCAAACATGGAGCACTCAACCAATTGCAGTGTTTTCTGGTACACTGGGCCGTTTGTTGATAAGTCCTGAAGCTCTGGTGAACTTTCCTTGTGTTCTTCTTCTTCTTCTTCATTTTCACTGCTGCAAACTGGCACTCCAAATTTTGAAACCCTGAGAAGATTAGAAGAGGTGGGCAAAGAAAGAGAGAGCAGAGAGAATGAAGGTTTGGAGGAAAATGGAAGAGAGAGAAAATGGGGTTGGAGAGAGATGTGAAGAGGGTTAGCTTTGGAAATGGGGAAGAAGGAAGAATGTTGATAAGTTTTCAGAGGAATCATGGAGAAAGAGAAGACTTAGGTCGCGTTTGTTTGAATGGAAAAAGGTTTAAAACGAAATGTGTTTTTGTGAAGAAAAAAAAAAAAGAAATGATAGAAAACGATTCAAAGGAATTTCAATATCATATATCCAGAGTCACTTGACACAGCAGTCTGCATCTACTTAAATGGGTTATTAAAAATACAGAAAAACATTTCTGCATTTGCAGCTGCATAAATATTTATATGCTACACACTATGTATTTCTTAAAATACAGTTTAATTTTTTAAATGAACTCCATTTTTGTGGGAAAAAAAATATTGGAACCCACTCCTTATTTTATGAGAGTGGCACATAATCCTTTTTTTTTTTTACAATAATTGCAGAAAATTAAACCTTTAAGAATATTAACAGCTAACTTATTTATTTATTTTAGGATATTTTAAAAAATAGGGGTTTTTTTCACAAAAAATAAGGTTTTACATCAGTATAAAATATGTTATTAATCTTGATAGTTAATTTTAAGGTTTTACATCAGTATAAATTATAACAGCTAATTTATATTTGATATTATGCCTATTAATTTTTTTAATTTAATATATATAATAATAGTCATGAGCTTTTTTTTTAATATTGAAAAAAAATTATTTCTACAAAAATTATTTTATTTTTTGGACATATTTAGTTATTCAGGACTACATATTACATTCACTTGAATTACAATGCATATACTCATTTAATTACACTTACACTCATTTTCTTCACAATTTTTTTTGTTTTATTTATTATTTAAGTTCACGTGTTATAATAAATTACGTTAATATATTACACTTTATTCTGTTGACAATTAGTTTGAAAGAGGTTAAATTATAAATTTGATATGACTAATTTTTAAAAATAGAAGGTCTGGTTCAGCCTATAAGACATAAGGTAAATTCAATTGTAATAAATAAAATATAAATTGCTTAAGAAATTAGAATACAAAATAAATATATTATTTCAACATATTTGAAAGTCTTTCTATTTTTTGTTCAGTTTATTTCTGAACCATACAATAGTTGTCGAATGTACTTGCGATATCTACAGATGAAACTTTGTAAAGAAATATTTGATGTTAACTATAGAATTTGAGTTCTTATGTATGTGGCTCATATAGTAGAAATATTTTATCGCCTGTAAGAGTTGAACCTCAAAATAAGAGTTTCCAAACCTTAATACATTATCAATATCTATAATATTATTTTTTGATAACCTATAATATTATTAATTATAAAGGTGATACCTTTATTTGGTCTCTAAGAGTGTACATGACAATCATTCTGTTCCCTGATATTGTTTCTGAAAAAAAATAATTATTTTCTATTTCTGTGCCTTGAAACAGTTTTTGAGAAAAAAAAATATGTATGATAATATGTCATATTTTTATTTCAAGAATCAGAATTGCATTTGATAACATAACAAATCATAGAATAAAAAATATTCCTATTAAGCATAAAAAAATTTCGGATCATCTCATTCCTTTTCATTATGATGTGGTGGTGGTGGTGATTGTGGCATGATGGTGGTGGTGGCGACGATAGCAGTGGTGATGGCATGATGGTGGTGATGACAATGACTGCGGCAATAATGGTGGCGATGGAGGTGGTGTGGTGATGATAGTGGTGGTGGTGGTAGAGATGACGATGATAGTGGTGATGGCAATAGCTACGACAATGATAGTGGTAATAATGGCGGCGATGGTGATAATGGTAGTTGTGGCGGTGACGATGGTGGTAGTGGCGTGGTGATAGTGGTGGAGAATGATTAAAAGAGACAAGTGTTTCTCATTTTGTGTCTGAGAACAAAAAAAAGCAGATTTTATTTTTATTTTTTTCTGTTCCTCAGTACATAAATTGAACCGGTTCATTCCCGGGAACAAAAAAATAAATCGATTTTGTAAAATACTATTTCTATCCATTTATGTTCTCCGGAACAAAAATTGGAAAAAGAAAAATTCTGGGAAGATTGTTCTGTCATCCTAATTTTATTTGTTATCATTATTAATTACTCATATATAAATTTAAAGATAAAACAAATAAAATTATAAATATTTCTTATTATTTTTATATAAACAAAGGTCTAAGCCCAACCAAACGGAAGAAAAACAGAAAGGAAAAGAACCTAAAAATTACACACCACTTCACGTGGTCTACTAACAGAAGCCAAATCAGCAAGAAACAAAAGTCTTATACCAGGAGGAGGTTCCCACCAAATTCTTTTAGATGTCTGCTCTTGATCATCTAAAATAAAATTGGCCAACCAATCAGCTTAAGAAATCCCTTTCCTATAGGTATGCCAGTTCCTTTGAAGTGATTACACACGGATTGTTATACCATTCTTGGTTAGCAGAGTGATTACACGGGAAGAATCACTTTCAATGACTACATTACGATAACCAGCACCCCAAGCCATCTCCAAACCCCTAAGCACACCCCATAATTCAGCTTTTGAAAGAAGTACAGAATCCCAACCTATAAGTAAAACCACCCAACCACTTTCCATTGTCGTCTCTCATAACACCACCACAAGCAGCAATACCCGGATTACCACGAGCAGCCCCATCAGTGTTTATCTTAATCATACCAGGACAGGGAAATTGCCAAGAAATATCAATGCTCATTGTTCTTCTCTTATCAAACTTATTGGAATGATTACATCAAGCATTATTTATATCAGCAACTAAATTCCGAATTGTCCTTACTCTATCATTAACCATGAGAAAACTAGAACCATGACAAACTTCATTTCGCCAAGCCCAGGCCTTCCAGTAAGTGACAAAAAAACTGCTCAACCAACTTTCTATTACATTACCTGTCAACCTCAAATTGAAATTAAACTCTAACTATAAATCCAAGTCACCAAGAAAGAAGCTATGCATTCGTTCATTTGGCACCAGACAAGTCCAAATATTCTTCACCTGCTGACAGTCCAGAAGAATATGAATCACTGTCTCTTTTTCTAATCAACATAAAGGACACAAATCATCCCCATTTCCCCAACTAGCAGTTTTTGCTTTAGTTAGTAGCCTCCCATGCATTACCTTCCACATAAAAACTTTAATCTTATGAGGACCAAACCACTACCACAAGCTGGACCAATTGGATCTGCAATTACCATCAGAACTGGACTGATTAGTTAAAGAAGAGTAAACAGCCTTGACAGAAACTTCACCTTCACCAACCAGGTTCCACGATCTCCTATCAGGACCATCTGCTGCATTAGGAGGAAGAGTTCCCAACAGGATGTTAATAATATTACTAGTAAGCCATTGCTTGAGGAACATCCAAATCCACTCCCTATCAGCTGTAACCATATCCGCCACATTAGCATCTAGTCTCATATTGGAATCCCTTCTATTAGTACACTCAATTAGAGGATGATTCGGAATAATCCATTTATCCTCCCAAAAATTAATATTAGTACCATCACCCAGCTCCCAGGTTAATTTATCCTCCATTTCCTTCCAAACTCTACACAGATTCTTCCAGAGCATTGAATTTTCATTTGAAGACTTAAAAACACCAGCCCTTCGAGAATTAGCAGCATACTTGGCATGTAAAACTTTAATCCAAAGCTGATCTGATGCTGACATAAACATCCAAGCTCTTTTAGCAAGAAAAGCATAATTCATTACCTCCAACCGTTTCAAACCCAAACCACCATCCATTTTAGACTTCGTGATGATCTTCCAATTTATCAAGTGATGTTTCGTCATATTATCCTTGTCTCCCCAAATTAAATCCCTTTGTATTTTTTCTATCTTCATGCAAATAGAGGTAGGGATCTTGGTACTCTGCATTTGAAAGTAAGGAATAGCTGCTAAAACAGAATTTGTCAAAGTAATACGACCAGCTTGAGATAAGCTTTGTTGATTCCAAACATTTAGCTTGCCTTTTATTTTCTCAACAATTCCATCATAAATATCCTTAGAAACCCTGCCATGTCTCATCATTGACCCAAGATATCGGCCAATATTTTTAACATATTTAAAACTACTCCTCTGAATAATATTAGCAATAACCTCAACAACTGTATTTTTAGAAAAGTAAATATTTTTTATTCTACAATTATATAATTGATTTCAAATACTTTCAAACTTCATTATTATTATAAATACTCTTTATTATTTTCTATGTTAACTAAAAAAATGTATATTAATAAACATGTAATGCTAGTTAATACGCTAATAAACATAAACATAATCAAAGCAATAAAAAAAGCTAAATTACTTTCAATTTTTAACGATATAGACATTGTTATGAACTAAGACGTATCAGGGAAATTCATATGTGAGAAAAACAAGTAGAAATTAGAGAGAAATTAGAAAATAATTCAAGAGAATATGAGAAAAGGAAAAAAGCTCAATCTCATTAATACAATGGTAGTACCCATATATAGGATTACAACTTTGAATGGTAATTAAACTAGTATTGAACAATCATAAACTGAGGGATAAATTCCAACGGTTTTTAGAATACAAATTTGAATTACTGTTTCAAAATACAAATTGAAGTCATCCATCAATATCTCGTAACACTCTCCCTTGGATGATGATACACTATGAATATGCCTCTTTAATATCTTGCTAAGCAAAACTCAATGGGATAAAAATTTAGCGAAGGAAAAAGAGTACAATATTTATAATAATTTATTATACACTAGCTTAGATTGCCTCATTAAAAACATTTTCAAGAAAAATCCAGTGGAATAAAAATTTGGTAAAGAAAAAAGAGTAAAGTGCGTATAACTCCCCCTCAATTAGACCATATAGCTACTGCAGGAGCTAATTAATCTTGTGTACTCATCACATACTAATGCCGTATACTAATTTCTCGAAACTTGATGTGGTAGTGATTTGGTAAAAAGATCAGCAACATTACTCACGGACTGAATCTGTTTAACATCAATTTGTCAATTTTCTTAGAGTTCACGAGTATAGAAAAATTTTGGTGAGATATGTTTGGTCCTATCACCTTGATATATCCTCCCCTAACTTGTGCAATACGAGCAGCGTTGTCTTCATAAATTATTGTTGGGGAATC